TTAAGATAAGTGATTCTCAAGAGAGAGAAGAATATCTCCCTAGTGAGGTTTGTCTATAAAATTAATGTATGTGAGATCTTTCTGTGATTTTCTCTGACTTCCTGGGACTCCATAGTGAATTAAGGCAGAAGGGCCCAGAACACCAACCTCTCTACCAATGCTCCTTAAGCAAGACCACCTCTGCCACAGATAATCCCCCTGACAAGAAATCACAACGTAAGGTCATCCTTCAGCAAGCACATTAATGCCTTCTTCATCTGACATCAGGAAGGCTCCATATAATGAGTTTCCCAAACAACCAATGATTACCCATTAAGAGTTAAAAAACAAAAAGGTTGAAAAAGTCAATGTCTTTGTTCCATACCTTTCTAAGACGTATTATTCATTTTGTTGCCTTCTTAAACAAACAGTGTTTAAGTTACTTTGCCTCTTGCTTACCACTAAGGATGATCACTGTGACCATCAATCATCGGCCTAGGATATAAGTAACCTCACAGTGTGCCTGTCTCTTTTTCTGTTGGCCATCAGGCAGTCTGCTCACATAGTCTAGGCACCAACTCATGTGGCCCATCTCCTTGCAATTGAATGGGAGCTGAGGCACTGTGGGCAAATATCAAAACTCATTACAGTTTACTATCTTATGGTCATTAATTCAAATCCTTTCATTTCACAGATCTGAAATCTAATACTCCAAGGGTTAAGACTTACCCAAGGTCACACAATGAATTATGATAGAGTTGCTTCTCATTTAGAATTTGCAGTTCATAAAAAAAAAAGTGTTGTTTAGTTAAAACTGCCCTTAGAAAATTCTTAAATTATTCTTTAAGAATACTATATATGTTTTATGTACCATAATTTTTATACTCATTAAAGTTTGAGTACTGCAGAGATAGATTGAGGACATAAGAAAAGGAAATTCTGCAGGCAGATTATTGTCTATTCAAACCATTTACCTTTAAGATAACCATCAAATCCAATGAATGAGAAATGGAGAGACACTTTTTAAGTGTTCTTGCTTCCCTATGGAATTTTTCCATTTGGTTTCAGTATTCAGCCTCTATAACCTTACAACATTTCAATTGATTGGACACTCCTCTGAAGATTAGAGGGTTAGGTTCTAAAGCTCAGATGTTAAATGCACCAATAATGCAACTCCACTCTGGGGATATAGGGTATATGAGAATGTATTATACAGTATTCTTGGTTCTCTCTTCAGCACTTTTTCAGCTACAACCCACTACCTCCTTATTAGGCAACAATCTCTGAATATGACTTGAAAAACAGGAAAAACAAAAAAGACTTACTAATAGCCATTTCAGTAGCGATCTACTTTGCTTACTTCCTGTTTCTCTTTTGTTCCCTAAGTGATTAAGCTTGTTCTGTAAGGGAGATATTAGTAAATGGGAAGGTTTTTGAGTTACATTCAGTCATTTTGATTAGCATCTTCGATAATGTTTTTTCTCTCTCATAAACATATGGTAAAGCAACATGTAATGTTCCAATGATTGTGATTTCAAATCTAAAGTACTGTTTGTTCATTCCTGAAACCTGAAACAAACATCTGGTGGTTAATGCTTTGAGGAAAAAAGTACCTTAGTGTTTTACCTTTGTCTATGATTCAAGATCATGGGCAAAAACATGTAGATGAGATTAAGCCACAAAAGCTTAAGTGGGTTCATTCAATTAAAAAAAAAAAAAAAAAACTAGCCTTTTACATTTCCTCTAATGTAGGGAATAGAGTCAATGCAATCGTCTTAAGGGCCTATTCCTTTCTGCCTCATCTTGCAATTAGATATAAACTATATCCAGTATATATCCTCTCACCGGAAAAAGAAATTGCATACTTCCTTATCTCTATCCCATATATGCTCAGAATTATTCCAGTTTGTGCATATTGGAATATGGTTCAGGTTCATGTTATGCATTTTTGTTCATGAGAATCGTATTTACTACATTAAACTTCTATCTAACTTGTTCACATTTTAAGATTTATGCTAGCTCACACTTTCCATTGAAGACAACTCTTGGAATATAATTTGAAATGAAGATGTACTGTCCATTTTGCAATGTTCATTTTAACAAAATACTTTGAAAAAAATTTTTGATTTTTTTGTTGAGTAATGTATTACTCTGCAAGGGTTACCATAACAAAATACCACGGACTGGGTGTCTTAAACAACAGAAACTTATTTCTCACAGTTCTAGGGGCTGAAAGTCCAAGATCAAGGTGTTGGTGAATTTGGGTTTTTCAGAGCCCTCTCTCTTTAGCTTACTGATGACCATCTTCTTGAGAATGTCCTCAAATGGCCTTTTCTCTGTCCTTTCATGCCTCTGATGTCTCTTCATCTTCTTACAAGGACAGCAGTCATTGGATTAGGGCTATAGCCTTATGACTTCATTTAATTCTAACTACCTTTTTAAAGACTCTGTCTGGAAATATAGTTACGTTGGATGTTAGGGCTTCAAAATATGAATTTTGGGATAACACAATTCAGTCCACAACAGGTAGTAATGCTATTAATCAATCAAATATTCTGTAATATCTTCCCTTGAAGAAAAAATAAAATTTCATGAAGGAAGGTGATAAAGTTATAATTTATGTATAAATTTACAGGTGAATCATTCCTCTGAGATATCAATTATAAGTGAATGAGTAAATGAACATAAAATAACCAATAACTCTGCTATCTGACCTATCTTAATAGAACTCACAAAGATGTAGCAAAAGAACAGTCGGGAAGACTAGCAACCCACACTTTTGTATGCTGTTTTCCAGAAAAGGAAAGATTCAGTGTCAGAAATGCCAGATGAGACTACTGTTCTTACTTATATTCTGGGGTCAAATCTAGAGATTTTGTCTTTATTCTCTGGAAGTGTGGCTTCCATATCTGAAACAAGCTGGAATCTAACTTAAGTGGTTTCAATATGCAGAGCCACAAGATTGAGGCTCTTTAGCTTAAACATACAAAAAAACAAAGGAAACTGTAGTATTCGTGCACAAATACAAGTAGGGGTATCTGTACCCCCTTGTGAAGACCACACCAGTTTTTTTAGAACATGACATGTTCAGTTGAGTCATTTACAATGTTCCCATTTCTGAATTTTCTTAATGCTTTGGATTAGGGTTGCTAACAAAGATATAGGGTGTCCAGTTAAATTCAAATTGCAGATAAACAATGACTTTTTTTTAGTATAAACAAGTCTTATTCAATATTTGGGACATACTTAGACCACAAAAAAAAAAATCCTTCATGGGTCATAGTTATACTAAAAAATTATTATTTATCTGAAATTCAAATTTAACTGTAAATCCCATATTTTTTCTCACAGCTCTACTTTGGGTCCAAAAATGAATCCTCTCCCCTTGCAATTCCCCGCCCACCAACACCCTCTTAAGCTACTATCAACAACTTCATAAATTTAATTTCCTAGTCTTAATCTGGTGCTCCAAGGCATGAAAACGTCAGGCTTCAGGCTCCCTTCCATTGTGCTGCTTTGATACATGGTTACAGATACTCCTTGTTAAAACATTGAAGTTTTACCCAACTTTTCCCCCTATGGTGAAGTATCTGCATTTTTATATCAATGCCCCATAACGCAGACATTAGCTGCCTAATGATGTGGTGAGAAATCTCTAATCCTTTAAATCTCTAAACCCTGGGCTCCGACTTCTCACCTGTAAAACCAGAGGATCAGAATCAAGGGGTTTTCCCCAAGGTTCCCTCTAACAATTCCATGCTGAGTCTGAAATGAGAGTTCCGTTAATGCTCTCGTTTGCTTTGTGAAACCTAAATTGTTTCCGTTTCGGAGGAATCCTTTTTCTCTTCAGGTAAGTAGTGTTTCAATTACTAAATAAGTAACATTTAGATTACTCCATTAATAGCTTTACCTTTAAAGATACTTAAGGGCCAAAGAACGCACTTTTTATTTCTTTCCATTTCTATCAGCCCTAACATCAGACTGTGCGTACAGTCGGTGATCAGATGATGTGATCATGAAAATGCTGATAAATGTGGAAATAATCCCATTGTGCTGGGCTCTGATTGTCGAAAATAATTTAGCGGCGAATTTAAGGCATCTCCGCGGTCTGAGAGCGGCAATGGGGGAGCCGCTCCTTGTTCTCTTCCGCCATCTAGTGGCGATAGGGTTGCTCTCTCCGCTCCGCTCGCGGTTCCGAGCTGCACACATTTTAAAGATTGTAAATCAAATGGATGAATTGTTTTATTCTTGTCATTACAGTAAAAAGGGATTTATAGAGTGTTTCAACAGATAAAATGTGATAAATATTAATAAAAGTTAAGTATAACACAATGACAGGCTTTAATACTTAAACGTTATAGATTAAATTCATGCATTTAAATCTCTTTAATATATTAATATGTTAAATTGAACAATGAAGAACAAAAATATAAACTAGCTTCAAGTGTTTGTAAGAAAGATTATCCTTCTAAGGTGCTCTTGTATACTGTTAAAGAAGGTTTTCATTTAAAATAAATATAATCATAGCAGATGAAAAGGGAAAAAAGAGAACAGAAATAAATTCTGGAAAGCATTGAACGTTTCAATTCTGTATTTAACCACTTGTCTTCAATTAAGTTAGAGCTTATTCTCATTATTATTTATAAATGCAATACAATGTTTAATGAATGTTGAATGATATTTAGTTTTAATGTCCTATAATCTGGAACTTTCTTCAAATGGCATAATAGGAGGTTTAATTGTGTGAATCTAAAGTAAAAATAAATTTCTCTAATGAATGAAATAAAATATTTCTGAAGTGTGACTTATTTCCCATTAAAGCTGTTTTCACTGAATAACTATTAGAGAAAAAATATTTCTGACATTTTAACATCATTCTGGTTTTCTTCTCATTTTAATTTAAAATGCTAGTGCTATTACAAAATACTTAGATCTTTCTAACAAATATATTTAATTGGAATACCATTTTGTTTTACAATACATTTGTGAGCCAGCTAAGAAATCTGCAATTTCTTTTCCAGGGTGGGAAAATTCCCATAAGGTGGACAGCCCCGGAAGCTATTGCCTACAGAAAATTCTCCTCGGCAAGTGATGCATGGAGCTATGGCATTGTCATGTGGGAGGTCATGTCCTATGGAGAGAGACCTTACTGGGAAATGTCTAACCAAGATGTAAGTGCTACCAATGGTTAAACCGCCATTTTGTGAATGTAAACTTAGCACTAGCTTTGAGGGGGAAATATGCCTTTTGTCCTCACTCAGATTAGCCCTTATTTTCCTAAAAGTGCACAAGGTCTATGGCTGAGTTTAAAAAGCTGAGTGGCCTTTTCACTCTGAGCTGTATTTGGTGTCTTAAAAGCCAGCTGATGGGCTGTTCCATGTAAGTACCTGATCCACACCTACATCCGAGATTTCCACACTTGTGATGCAGCATGACTGTGCTTATGCAACAGCCTTGACCTACAAGTAAAATAAAAGAAAGAGTAATGTTTACCTGTCATTTCTTCCTTAGGGCAATTCAATGCAACACTGTAAAGAGCAAATTAATTTAGACTAGATATTATTTAGAAGAAAAAGAGTGCAGGTTTTCAGGCAATACATTCTCAATATGTGTCATCTACTATGGATCTTTTGAGATATATGACCCTTACTGCATTCTGTTTTGTTTCTATTTTATCTATAAAAACTACCTTGGTGGTTGATGCTATTATAGAACAGAATCGCTCATACGTTTAACCCCTGTGACCTATTCACAGTGGTAGAGACAGTAGTGAGAAGATACAGGTACTCAGACAATGCAAATGAGTGCTGTCAGAGATAACAATACGTTTTAATTTCCTACTTCCTTATTTTGAAATTCAGGCATTGTCTACTCACTTGCCTTTCTCAAAGTATTGATAGTTTCTGAGACAATGATAATGAGAAATCACCTCTAATGTGATTCTCAATGTTCATAGGTAAAAACAAAGACTATGTAACTATAGATAATCCCTAAACACTCAGAGAATAATTATTGCCACATCTCATTTCTTTTTGTCATTTAATCACTGGAATAACTCCCACACACCTCTACCCTTCACACGGTATTGCTTCATCCCAACTTCAAATGGTCCAGAAATCTTAAGGACTTACTCAATCACAGAGAAAATTTATCCTTTTCTAATGCCAGGCATAGACAAGACTGGATTTTGGTTAGTTGGGCCATGGCTATTATTTCTCCCTACCATATAGTGTTGCTTTTGAAGCTAACTCCTGCTTAGTCCTGTAGGTGTCTACTGACTCTAGAAAATGCCAGGTCCAGAAACCTACACAGCAGGAGGTTTAGGTCAAACACACTGCTCAGTCATTGCTCTCCAAAGCATAACATCAAAACACAGAGCCAGTGTGGCTGGGTCCTGCAGAACATCTGGCCTTAAGGACAAAGTGTGCCATAACCAGCAACCCCTGCTCCGCCTTCAACACCTAGACTTTTTGGATCAGGGTCATTTGGCTGGAGTCTGCTATTTATCAGAAAATTTTACTGGAAGGAACCCATTGCTCTTCCCTGCCACTGGGCCTTGTTTGGGGCAATTTCTGACTGCCTTTCCAGCTCTTCCTAAAGTTCAATTCCAGAAGCAGAAATTTGTCCCTTCACTCCCAAAAGGTACTCATATTTTGGGTGGCTTTTTGTTTGTTTATTTTTAACCAGTTATCTAAGGTAGCACAAGCCCTGGATTTAGTCACCATAGTTCCTGTTCTCCTCTAAACCCAAGATACTGCTTGCCTACTTGTCCTATTTTGACTCAACTAAAATAGGCCACTCAAGCAAATCTCCAGAATGAAAAGTCCTCCTCTAGATGAGTAGTTACAGTCATCACTATACAGAAGAGGCTACACTTCAGTACCCTCCTTAATTGGTATCCTAGCTCGTTCCTGTCTTAACCAATTCCCTGACAGACTTAAAATTTTTAAAAATTGTCACAGAGGGCTTCAAACTTTACTAATAATATGCCTGTATCAATAAGAAGTTCTTAAACATCCACAGATGACATATGTATATTTATTTGCACATCATATACAATAGTACTAATGTATTCATTTAAAAATATATATTGGGTGCATTTTCCATTTTAGGAACCAGGGGTACATCAAAGAAGAAATATTACACCTGGAAGGGACCCATAATGATTAGTCCAATCCTTTTGTGGCATAGAAAAGTGGCATGATTTCCCTTAGATCACATAGCAAGTGATTTGTCAGTGCTCTTGGAATAATCCTGATAAACTTCTAGAATAAGTCATAGGCAAGGAGAAGAGAAGAGGGAATAAGTGTGTCTTTCGTAGTGGTTTGGTTTACAGTCCATGTAGTTCCCCATGTAGGGCCAGTGGTTTCTTGCCCTCATGGAACTTACATTCTAATGGGAGGGAGACAGACTACAAACAAAATTAATATGTGAAAGACAGAGTATGTAACATCATAACCACTGCTGTTGGGGGGGCAGAGGAAGAGGGAGAAGCAAGAGAGAAGGATAAGAAATGCTGGGGAGTTGATTTAAATGTATCATAAACATTACAAAATACATTTGTGAAAGTCATTCTTTTATGGTCATAAAAGTCATAATTAGTCATTCTGATTAGACATTCAAAAATAGTCCTTCTTATAATAGGATGATGTACATAAATGTAAAGAGAAGTTCCATGATTTTTCCTGCTCCTTTGATGATCCTACTGCCAATTTAGTAACCACGGTCATGGTTATGTGGACTCTATTTCAACCATGAAAGTCCCTTAACTTTTCAAAGTGCCTCAGTTTCATCACCAATAAATACAATAAATGGACTGGGTTAGATGATTTTTTTAATGTTCCTTTTTCCAGTAACATGCTATGATTTTATAATCTCTGGAGAAATAGCTTTCACAATTTTCTCAGCAAAGGAATGATTCAAATTGGTTTTGTGATGTTTAGGACTTTCCTGAATCTCTGTGAGGGTGCCAAGAATTAGATAGGACTTCCACAGAGCAGAGCACATACAAATGAAGATGCCTGGCCACAAGACAGACTTTTTAGGAGAACAGCTTCTGCAGGAAAAAGTCCAAATGTGTAGTTTTCATCATAGACCACCATGTAAATTGTTCTTAATCGTTGCCTACCATAGTCCAAACACTCTTGTCAGCCTTTCCCCTCCTGGATCTTGATCAGTAGTTTACGCAGCCATTCTGGCCATGTATATTGATGATCAGTGTCCAAGATGACCATTTAGAGAGTTATTTTGTCTATTAAACTTCATTTGGCCACAGAGACTCTATCTGGAACCAGAAGAAGCTGCTGCAGCCAGGAATAGACTCCCAACATTAAGCCCATTCTCATTTGTTGAGGATTGCCAATGCTCATGACACAAGACCTTAGTTGTTTTTCTGGGCCCGGGTAGGGTTTTAAGCTGGTGTATTTTCACAATCTTGGTGTGCATTACCAAAGAATATTCAAGCAAGAATCTGAGAAAAGGAGGGGGAAAGTGGAGGGAGGTAGTCTATGGGGAAAAAAAACAAATCTTGAAGTCCTCAGATCAATACAAGACTAGAGTAAAGTAGTAAGAGGTAAATCTTTTATTTATCTTGTGAGTATTTTTTGCTGCTGCAGTAAAGAGAGTTGAAATTCTGTTTAGCTTAACATATTGGAAGTCAGCATATCTGTGACAGATTCTGTAACCAGAATTTCTGTTTAGAAGCAGAAATAACTTAATCACAAATTTCCCAGCTACTCTTTCCAAATACTGGCTATTCCCTATTTGTCCTGCATTTTTCATTTATTTGGTCAAAATGTAGTCTTATGATTGATTTTTTTTCCAAGCAAAGTCTATTTTAAATAAGGAAAGTAATGTGATAGACAATACAAATTCAACCATTTTTTTGAATATTTTATATTTTTACTACATTTTGGTGAGTTTAACAAACCTATGGGAACAGATCAAATGGAATGTTACCATGCTTTATGATTTTAAATGAGTTTAGGAAATTTCAAATAGTTTTTATGAAATAGTTACTCCATTCTGCAGACTGTTGTGTATTTTATTATGATGAACAATTCTGAGTTTACAGAGTCTGTTTCTGTTAGTGAAAAATATAATGAGTTTTGCAAAGGTCAGTGGTATTGTACATTAGGGAAAGGAAATGAGAAAAAACGGAGTCCACAGAACTAGTTCATGAAAGTCCTAACAAAAAATAACAGCAGGTGCCATCTGCTTAGCCATTCAACAATTACTTATTAAACGTGCCAGTCATTGGACCAAGTGTGCGTGTGGAATGCAGACAGGGAAGTAGGAAACCCAGTCCTAACTCTCAAAGAATTTACTATTAATATTTAGGTAAAGAGATGAAGTTCTGGCATTTGTACGTCTTACTCCCAGCCCCCAAATAGAATGTACAGTCATTAAGGGTAGATGCTGTGCCTTCTGTCTTTTTTAAAATAGAAACAACATTGTGTGAACACAACATAGTTATTTTTTTAAAAAATATGTATGCCAAGAAAGCATGCAGACTCTATTTTTCAGTATTCTTTTGATGATAAATGACAGAAATCCAACTTCAACAAACTTAAGCAAAAATAAGGAAATTGTTTCATTATGAAACTAAGAATGTAGTTCAGTACTGCTGGATCCAAGGGATCATGCAAGATTTTTAGTGTTTCTGTAGGTTCTTGAACTCATTCTCTCCTACTGCTAAGTTCTTCTTTGCTATCTTCTTCATACTCTAGGTCTCAGCATTCCAGCTTAGTCACCCAACATCATGAGACCTTTCTGTGAAAAGTCATATACCAATCCCAGAGAAGACCCTGGTTTGCTTTGTTAGGCCCCTGACCAACCCTGAACCAAAACCATACCAGGGAAATGGATACTATGATTGGTTTGGTCCAGCTAGGTTTATGTGCCATTCTGTTCATTCTGAGCTGGGTGGAGCATTGTAATTGGCAATTTCCCCATAATCACATGGTGTGAGGAGGGAATTCCCCAAAGTAAAGCAGTTGTACCTCCAGAAGCTGTATAATATTTTTCGTTTCTTTTCTTTTCTTTTTTTTTTTTTTTGGTATACATTGTTTTCCAGAGCATCTTTATTTATTGCAGTATCAAATGGCACCAAAATATTGACATTGTGCATCACTGTATTCTAATGAGGCAGGAGATTATATTAGAAAAACCA